TATTGTGTATTTTTTTAATAATTAGTTTTTTTATATCTATTTCTTTCCTTTTTTTGTGTGTGAGCATGGCCTATTTTTTTGTTTTGTTGAGTTAATAAGATTTATTTCGTAAGATACGCTAATACTATGGAATTTATATTTTTACACTAATAAGAAGCTGTAATAACCAGAATTATAATTCTAGGAATACAAAGTTAACCAATTCTTCTTCACAACAAAAAATTGTTTTCCTTATCTTTATAAAAATGAGAGATGTCCGCATTTGACAGGATGACATTCACATTTCATTATTTATTCCATTTAACAAGTTTTTTTATTTCTTAATTTTTCAATCTCATCCTTCATTACTGTTTAATTCCTATTATAATTTATTGTTAAACATTCATATTGTGAGGACTGTTTGAAAAACATTTAACTAAAATTCCACTTAGACTTTTAATAGAATTTATTATTACGATGTGTAAGTAGATAGGTTTATGAACATCCGAATGTATAAAAAAAACTTTAAGAAAGAAAACTATATTTTTTTCTAATTCGTGCGTGAGAAATTCATGAACTGATATATTTTAGTTCTTAATTTAAAAAATAGACTGAATCGACACTTTAAGATCACGCATTCTAAAGATGGTTTGTAAAAAAACATTTTTTTTTTTTTTTTTTTTTTTTAATCAACTGTCTCCTTCAGATTTAAACAGAATTCTTTTCCAGAACATCCCTTTCAACCTGATTGGAAGACAAATGGTTCGGTCACGTTTGTTCAGGAATTCCAGTCTGAAGAATCTCTATAGTCTATTGCTCAACTTCGAGAATCGATTAGTAATCAAAACGTATCTTGTTCAGTGTTAGTCAAATACGTCATCGATTCTAATAAATTTCGAAACATGGTAGGAATAAATAAATGTATTATCTGAAAAAAAAATTAAGACCTTTCACGGCCTGTAGCCGTTACTGTTTTTATTAATATAATTATTATTTAGTACAATTTTTCAATATTTTACAAAAAAAAAACAACTGTATTTTGTAGATAATTACAATACATCTCGATGATTATAGTAATTTATTATAGTTATTTTTGCGGAAAAAATTTTAATTAGAATTTCACTTGTTTTACAAAAATGAAGGCATGTCTCTGCTTATTCTTTAACCAAGCTTATTTGGCGGACAAGGAAAAGGTTTAAAAAAACATTAGAAGTTAAAGATGACTGTGTCCAATTTACTATGCTACAATTATTATATACTTTTTATATGTTTTTGTAGAATAGGAAGCAATCTATTAAAAAAAAACATGAAACTTAAAAGATTTATAACGCAGTAATTATATTTTATTTTACACTATTTAATGACTGATTTATTGTTAGAATACTGTAGTACAATAGAAATAATAATACATAGATCTTTCAAATACCCTGTAACTAATCAGTCAAATATATAATTATTCCTGCATCATCAAGGCGGAATCATCATCAACAAAATAACCAAATAGAGTGGTACATCATTCCAAAACAATTCAGTAATTTTAAAAAATATTTTTCAGTCATTAATTAATTATTACGAAGAGAATTTTTCAATGAGAGAAATAAGTAATAATCGGATAGGGACATGATCTGGAGAGTACGGAGGATTATGTAAAAAGTCCCAATCAAACTGTAAGAGTTTCTGTCTTATGTAGGTCCAACGCAACATGCGTTCTGATAGCCCTGGAGCCAGTTTACATAAATCCTTTGCTGTTGAGAGGTGGAAAAGAAGCTTATACTGCATGTAAGAGACTCTAAAATAAAATAACTCAGTAGAATAGACACCCACACTGTTAAAATATTGAAAATTACGTTTGCCTTCATTACCAATTTCGAACTATCGGGAAAATACCGATTTTGTTCGCAGTGACTTAAATTAAATTAGTTGGTACTAAGTTGACGCAAAATTTGATGATCTACGACTTTGATTCTATGGATTTTTCCTCTTAGAGAACTCATTTCCAAGTTACAGGCCATTTATAGTAATTTGTATCAGTTTTTGACGTTGTATCTGCGTTACCATATCATAAAGTGTATGTGCTCGTTTGACGAAAAATTTAACGCTCTTTAATTTATTAAAGAATACATTTTTTGTATTCTATGTATTTTTTTGTATTTTTTTTTTTTGTACTTTGATTCATCGTTTAGGAGTTATAGGTGAAAAAAAATATATATAAAAAATCTGTCTTTTTTTGGCTGAAAAAAGTTATTCCTTGGTGGCCCGCGTTAGCAATTTAGTTTTTTTCATGTCTAAACCCATATGTACAAGTTAAAAAAATAGAAACATTTCTCACATTTTTCGTAATGGATTTCCCGTTTCGATCCTCAAATTATTGGCAGATTATTCTTTAAATCTGCCGCCATTTTTGAAAGCAGCGTGTCTGGAGGGCAGACAAGTCTATTTTTACTCAGAATAACATATACTTTCACCTGCGATTAGGTCGATTTTTGGGCCCTGGCTCCAGGGCTATGAATACAGTTTGATTGGGACGCTCTACCTCATCCTCTGTACTCCCCAGATCTTGCCCTATCCGATTATTACTTATTTATCTTGTTAAAAATTCTCCCCGTGATAAGGGTCACAAATCCGAAAATCGAAATAAAAAGACACCTCGCTGAATATTTTGCAAATTTTGAATATTTGCAAGTCTCAAAAGTTTTGTAAAGAGGGCATAATGAGGTTTCCTGGTAGATGGAATGAGATAATAGAGCTGAACGGTTCATATAAAACACAGTGAATCAACCTTAAACAACAAACATGGTTTACTGATTTCCCATAAAAAAAAAGAAAGAAACTTATGGAACACCATAATAAAATTACAGTATTTTAGTGTTAATTTTCATTTATAATTATCAAATTATTTTTAAGCCTATCAAGAATTATTGATTGATAATCGCTATGCAAATTAAATTATTTAAATTATATCCACATATATTTCATGAATCTGTAATAAAAATTAGTTATACTAAACAAAAATATAACCCTTCTTTCAAAGTTTTGGCATTTTCGTTGACATTTTTATGGGTTCAGAGCATGGAAGGATATTGCTGTACGGAGTCCAGAGCCCAGATGGACAGACCGCTTGGAGCTGGACAACACTACAATAAATCAGAACTGAAGTCCGGGCTGGCAGGGAAGGGATTACAGGAGCCCCAACTGAGGGCAATATTTAGCCCACCGGCAGCCCGTGAAATGTTTGGAATTCCAGTTCCAGGGTACTCAGCACAGCTCTAGACAAATATTTTCAGAATGCATAGAAACCATCGGCTCCATTGTTTGGAATTGTTGCTGGTATTGTTTGCATATGAAACAAGATCATTTTGCGTAGTTTTTACACGGGTTCATTAAGTTAATATTGGAATGCGTTCATCACAATACGTGAATACCAATCATTGGAATTCGTTATAAATATTATACTTTTATTTCGAAAACTCCAATAATTATGGAACATTGTGTTTTAATGCGGTATTTGTGTTTCAATGGAAGGAACTCGTGTCTTATGTTTCAGTTCAAATTCATACCATCTACAGTTCCGAAAAGAAAAAAAAATCTCATTAAAATAACCTTGATTTCAAATTTTTTTTATCAAAATCACGATATAAAAACCAATCGATAATTTAGTTAAACTATTAGTCCGTTGTACCTATTAGTCCCTTTTTATCAAATCATTGACATCCTCCTGAAACTTCGTAAATAGCTTTATCTCATCGTAACCAACAACTATTTTATTTACGAAAATCCTTGGCAAACTTTGTCTATTTAATTAGGTACTAAAAACTCGTAAATATCCATTTGCTCTAGCGAGACCTAAGCCACCAAAATGTCAAAATAACGAGGTTATATAGGCCAATCGGCCCAATATTTATTTGGATCACATTTTTTATTGATTTTTTGATCAAATTACCTTACGATCCAAATGGAAAGCAAATGATATTTACGAGTTTTTTAGTATCTAATTAAAGATACAAAGTTTGCTAATCTCCAGAATTGAAAAAACCCCTAATTCTAAGAATTTTCGTAAATAAAATAGTTGTATTTTACGATGAGATGAAGCTATTCAAGAAGTTTCAGGCGGATGTTCAGAATTTGATAAAAAGGGGCCAGTACCACGGACTATATATCTGTTATTATAGTTTCGCATTTTGACAAAATTTCAACAAATTACATCTTATTTACTTTTGAACAAATCTGGTGAATCACATCTAATATTTTTATTCCATCTATATAAATTATCCCACAACACAGTTTTTTTTTTTTTTTGTTGGTACACCATACCTTCCATCATTTCGAGGATTAAAATCATCCAATCCTCGAGAACGAAAAAGCGCAATGTGAGAAAATAAATAGAGTTAAAAAAAATATATATATATACAAGTTTATATTTGTTATTATCATGATTAATTTTTAATTAGCCACTATCTGAACTCTTAAAGACAGCAGACCGGCTAATTTTCATTGCTTAAGACAAGTGTGGGTGAAAAATAGAGTTAAACATTTTAATTAAACATGATAATAATAAATTTGGAATTTGACTATAAAAATCTTTGCATCCTTATCATAATTTTTTTTAGTAAACAGTCTAGGTATGATTAGTGAATCACCATCTCCGAATCTTTTAGTCCCAACCTAGAGGCAAACCCTTTTACCTCATTAGTAAACCATGTATGATGCGGTGGACGAAAAGTTCTGATTTCATCCTTAGAAAGAGCAGTTGTACCCATAAAATAAAGTTTATTCTATACTCTTTGGTTGTGCCTATCATTAGTTCAATAAGAACATACTATAAGACGGTACATCAGTCGTACGCTTTCTTCTAGTTACTGAGCTCTGTCCTGAAGTAAATGAGGTTAAGTGGATTCAGTAGTATTTCTACAGAAATAAACTTAGTTTAGCATGCTTATGAATCCATTCCTATAGTAGATTTAATCAATAACCGTATAGCCTCCACATTTTGACTATTAAATCTATGCAAATCAGTTGGGTACCTTGGGCAGGGCAGCTAGGCATTGCTGCTTCACGTCCCAGACAAGTTGATGGCTGGGGAACTGGAGGCACTTCTGGATGTTGAGCTCTGGTACGTGGACTCGGAGCAGCAGGTACCCCGGCTCGGGGCTGTCTGCCACCTCCATATCACTGCAACACAACATATTACATTATATATCAGTTATATAATACATAAAATAATATTTTTATAAAAAGATATTTTACAAAAAATAATGTATTTATAAATATATAAAGGCTGGTGATTAAAATACTGCCAAAGATTGTATAATAGTAGCAAATAGATATAAGATAAGAGCTATTTAACACATGGAGTAATGTAACATAAAAATATAGAGAAATACTTTATTTTTAAAAACATCCTGCCCAAATACAATTAGGCCACAGCATCATATTAATCAATATATTATCAGATAAAAAAATCAGTATAAAAAAAAAGTATTCCACTACAACACAGAGGGTCTAAGATTCAATACTTTGCAAGGAAGTACTGTCTGTTGGTCAATGGAAGTCCAAGGCAACTATTTCAATTAAGAATACCCATTTACCCTCAGGATCGATCCACGGCTGATGAAAAAAAAATTACCAGTCAAAGCCGGACTCAAACTCGGGACCTGAAGCATAGGAGAACTCTGCCTAGCTCACTGAATCAACTAATTTAACTAACTTGGTAATTTTTAATACGTCTCTCAATTAATATATTAACAATTTTAAACCACTTTTAGACTTAAACAAAAGTATATTTTTAATTTTAAATTATTTAAGATTGTACATTATTACTATAACTATACCATATTCGTTTTTATATTTCCTTCATTTTCGGTTTTTTGTTTCTTTGAAACTCTTCATTGCGTTCTCATTTATTTATATTTTCCATTTTTTTCTTTCAGTCAAACCTTCATAATTTCGTAACATGATTAAATGTCAATATTTAATAAAAAAAAAGTGATAAGTTAAACTCTTTTAAATTCGTAAATACTTTAAATGTGACGATAAAATAATAAAATAAAATAAAAACTAGCAATATCTAGTAGAAAAAATGTTTTTTTTTTTTCTTAAAGGCTTTTGTTTCTATTGCGATGTTCGGACAAACTTCAGGCATTCTCCAGTAAAAAAAAGTTTAAAATATTTTTTTTTAAGTATGTAATAAAAATTTCATTTGATAAAAATCAATTCAATTAAAATAAACTATTAACTTCACGTTTTTTCGTCAAACGATTTTGTTAATTTTTTTTTTGTTTTTTTTTTGTTTTACGCATGTTCCTAGACATAACTAAATATTATTTTCATTGAAACTAAAAAATACCACAATGTCTCGCAATTACATGGTATTATAATTATATTATAGGTGTATATTTATGCCTTTTTAACTGTCGGAACACGATAAGAGATTTAAAAGAACTAAATATATTTGATCATGCTTTCTCAGGCTACGAAATAGAAGCTGGAAAAGTATCTTAATATATATATTTACAAATACACTTGCTCATATCTATTACAAGAAAAGCTTTGTTCCAAATCATATTTCAGAAATAATCCTCAAATCCTATATTGGGTTCACCCTCGCAGGTAGATAATCCTCTAGTGGAAGCCCCTTCTTCCCTTCCGCTCTCCCCTCCCCCTTCTTCCACTCAGTATCAGAAACAGAAAACCTATTTTACTGTTCTCCAAAAAAGGGCTTATACCAATAATAATACGTTTAGAGGAACGAAAGGTTTGATACCGATACCGACAACAGTCATGCCTGGTTACGTAAGGGTTACTGTAGTAATGTAAGTCAAGGGATAGGTAATCGTGGTGACTTCTCGTTAAGTTGTTAAAACAGTTTGAACCGATTGATTCCAGCAAAGTACGATCCTTTCTATCTTGAATTACAGCTCACTCACTATCTAAGAAGTTGTTTGAATGTTAAGTGAAATAATAAGGTGTTTTTTTTAGCTGTTGTTGCAAGAATAGCAACAAATGGTTCTTTTTTTTTTTTTTTTTTTTTTTTACTTGTTGGGATTAGGGTATACAGGCAGGTACATATAGGGTATGTCTTTTATTTTTAATTTTACTTATCTTTAACTTAATTTATTGTATATCCTTTTTTATTATTATTTAATAATTGATATTTCGCTCTCTACGGTAATTTATTTTGTATTTTCTGTATATATATTGTGAATGGAGGCTTATCTCATTATAATTGTTGTCCAGGTGACAGAATGTTACATTACTCAATAAATAAGTATAAAAAAACTTATTTATGTAGGGTAAAAACTTACCCAATTTTCAAAAATTTAAAATAATTAATTCTGACAGTCTTCAGAATGTAAGAACTACATTGATATTGTGCAATAATGTGCGTTTCTTGCCAAAAAGATAAGATTCGTCCTTCCTGGGCGACACCTATCGGGTTTCTAATCTTCAGCGATTTTTTCAATCTATAAAACTAAATAAATAGAGGGAATTGCTAGAATATTTGAGCGCAGGAGGGATTCACTCTTCAAATGAGGGATTTCCTTGACCATTCCCAACGCTTAATATTCTTCAATAACTGAAGTAGTGTTGACCAAAATCGTTCTAGATAGTAGTGTAGACCAAGACCGCCTGACTGTTGCAAGACTGATAAAAAAAAATCGTTTTTGTTAATAAAAATTAAGACAAAATAGTTGAAAATTTTAGTTACTACATGTAAGGAATTGGTATAATTAATATACTTTTGCATTTAATTCTTCCAATTTTTCATTCGGGCTTAGTTAGGTTTCTCCTATCTGAAAAATTATAGTAATATCTCTACAGTAATAGGTTAATAGGTAACTGCAAGACCAAGACGAATTTTAGAGTATTTGGGCAACACTAAACTGAAGTGATTGACGAAAACTAAGCGTTGTGCCGACAACTAGGGATCTTATCTAGTAACGTTATCATTTCAAAAAAGGGATGTACCAATTGAATGTATATTTTAATTGGTATGTAATATGATGCTGGTCGCATTATTTGGACCAATATGGTATTCACCTATCCATTAACTACTTTTTACCATTTTATTATTTCATATTAATTTTTCTGTTATTTCATTACAATTATTCTTGATGAGATAAGACTATGCCATCCCACCAACGAGGACCTAAGTGGTAGGAGCTGGTGCAGGCGAGTAGGTTGTGTCGAAACTTGAGCCAAGACAGATGACGTTTCTAAACTAGCCGCTGCTGCATTCTCCCATTTCTTTATCCACATTCTACTGCTTTTGCTCATCGCCCGGTATGGAAGAATGTTGACAAATCAAACCTGTTTAATATTTATAAGCTCCGCAGCCCGATGAATTGTTCAAGTTCTCAAAAAATAAAAAATACAGCACAAATTATACCTCTATGATATATTTTTGAGCTACATAACAATAAGTTTATAATTTAAAAAAATATAGGACTCAAAGTCAATGGAACAGAAACCAAATATTAAGACACACATACACACGCACATGCACACGCACACGTACACGCACACGCATACACACACACACACACACACAAGCTTTACCTATCTAGATCCTGCATTCGACTAACATTTCCTCCTGACAAATAATCCACGAAATATTTTTTTTTCAAGATCGTAAGGCGTTGGTTTTTCTATAATAAGCGTTAACATTAATGAATAATACGGATATGGTGGTTATATGGGTTTCTGATAGATGACTACGAGAAATAAACACTCACCAGCATCCTGAAAAGAAGTTATGAATGATTGAGATACAAATCCTCCAGGCGCTAAACGAAGCGATCTGACAGCACAGTACTATCGCATGGAGAAGAATCTATAAAGAACTGCTTATACAAGCTAGTCCATCAATATATCATAATATGAAGGGAGGAAGATTAAGATGGGCGTGGTATGTATCTCAGAGCGGCCCATCAGGAAGTCTCCACACAATAATGAATGCCTAGATAGTAACCAAGAAACCAAATTAAGTCTAAAAACCAAATGGATAGATGGAATTGAAAAGATGCTGCAAGACTGCATGCAGGTAGGATGGTAAAAGATCTAAAAGATTTGTAATGACAAAATAATATGAAATTATTAAAAAAGAAAACTATATGTACATATATAAAGGTCAAAACTCATCTCCTTATCTTGGCCTGACTATAACACCTATTAATACACGTTGAAATAACAGATAGTTAACGGATTTTACACTGCTCCTGGATGCACAGGCATCACATTACAGTAGACAGTTAAGAAATAACCAGACAGCAAGTTGGGCAACATCAAGACTGGCTGAGGTTGCGACACAGCCCCGTTTTGGTAGTACAGAGGCCGGCAGATCAACAATCAACTCCCGGCTGGTCTGTCCGTCCAAGTTCGGGGTGTGGTATTAAATGTGTCTATGACTTATCTATAAATTTAACTTTCGCGAAATTGCATACATTGTTCTATCTTTCACGGAACTCGAATCATCATTAAAATTAAGTTTATTGGAAGTTCATTTAATGGACACTAGTTAAATGATATCTGATCTGTGAGAATTGCGATTTCCAAAGAACTGTAAAACACATTATTCAAGACTGTCCTACAATAAAAAATCAGAGAAAATTTGGATATAGCAACAAACCTACCAGAAAACCTAAAAGACAACGCAACGAGAAGACTGTCAAAATAACATTAGAATTCCTAAAAGCGGTGGAACTCTATAATAGAATTTAATTAGAAGGTCTTGCCAATGACTCTGCATGGTAGACGCAACAAAAAAATAAATAAATAAACGATATCTAGGTCAGACGTATGTATAAAAATAAGCACTAAATAAGTAATTTAGTTTTGACTTGAAAAAAAACGGAGATAAATAATAATAAAGTTTGACTTGAAAATATATAAATAATATAATATAATATTATATATATATATATATATATATATATATATATATATATATATATATATATATACACACGAGCGGGCATATGGGACATCACTCTACTCCAAAATATTGAAAATTTCTTTATGAATTGAGTTGACAATAGAGTGATGTTGTCCGTGATACAGACCTTTTTATCAAATTATTAACATCCGCCTAAAACTTCGTAAATAGCTTTATCTCATTGCAACCTGCAAATATTTCATTTACGAAAATTCTCGGAATTGGGGCGTTCTCAAGCTGAAGATTGAATCGTCAAAGTTTGTCTAGTTAATTAGTTACTGAAAACACATGAATACCCTTCCTATGAAACACATGAATATATTTCCTTTCCAACTTGAATTTTAAGATAATACCATCACAAAATGGAAAAAAAAGGCGTTTGGCAATATAACCTCGTTATTTTGACATTCTGGGGATGGCCAGACAGCCACAAAAATACAATTCAAATACAAGAATATTTGTATACCAATATTTTTTTTTTTACTTACAGCTCAAATTATCTAACCATTAAAGTGGAAAGCAAACGAGTATTTACGAGTATTATTTAATAGACAAAGTTTGATGATCTCCATGTTGAAAACGTCCCGATTCCGAGAATTTTCGTAAATAAAATATTTATAGGTTACGATGAGATGAAGCTATTAACGAAGTTTTAGAAGGGTGTTGTTAATTTGATAAAAAGAGATATGTCTGTACCACGAACTATAATTTTGGAGGTTTCAACCATTTTCTTCCAGACCCGCCATTTCGATAAACTGAGCCAGGAAAAAAATTCTTATCGCATTTCCAAAAAGAAAAACAAAGAGTTCAATCGATTTAAAAACTATTCAATTCTCTGAGGTATACATTAAAAGAAAGTATTAAATTAATTTTTCAACTGTTTCAAAAACAAAAATAATGCGATCATGTGACCTCATTGAAGGAGATATGCTGTTCAGACTTTTTAAACTGTGATTATTATAAAAGAATGCCTAATCGATATAGGTAATTTTTAAGGTAAGGTAATAGGTTCATATCATCTAAAGAATCCAGTCGTTAAAAAAATAACAGGAGTTGTCATCGTGTTTATATTTAGCAAATGGTTAATCGAGGTAGAAAACAAATATTTGTTCCTAATCAGTCACTCCTTGAGTCAGACGCTCCGAAGATATTCAATACTTCATATAAAACAATATATTATCTACTTTCCGCTATAAATCAAAACAACTAACAATAACTCTATGGAATATTTCTATAAAATAAATAAAATTTTTCACAAAATAAATACGTATAATAAAAAACAAAATAATACCTCTAAGTATTAAATAATTCTAATATAAAGCAACTTATAACAGACTTAAAGCGACAATAAGGACTCAAACGTTTTAACTGTATGTACGTTTATTGTATAACATGATTATATTGTATTGTTTATATTGTATATTATATGAAATAATATACTGTGTCAGGATAAAGCACTGTATTCCCAACTCCTGGGGCATAGGTTGGGTAAGGATTTATTTTTTGTTTTGACAGGATCACGGATCAACTGCGAGGATCAGAGACCCTTCCGACCCAAACGCCATTATGAAATGGGTACCTGATCCTTTAAATAGGTTTAGAATAAAACTTCGCGGTTGGGGGACATGCGGTAAAACAAATTCACCTCCATATAACAGTTTACCAGTAAGTAACATTTACGTATATAGTAATAAATCCAAGATAGTAGTATAGATATTTTTAATAACTATTTAATTTTAATTTTAAATATTTTGCTTACTTTACAAGAACATATACATAATATTTTACTATTTTATCTTCAACCCTTCAAAAGTTTATAATTTAATGTGTAAATTCCAAGATTTATACAGAAAGACTTTTAATAAAACAACCAGTAATTACGTTTTTATAAATAAAGGTCTGTGCTATATTTATAAGTAGCAATTAAATAAGCAATATGTATTATATACTATATTTTGTGGTACATTTGTACTTATCTAAAAGTAATATTTATCGGTATTGTTGAATACTATACTCAATCCTGAGAGTCCAATAGAATTATTTTTACAGCTTCATTTCTCACCCTAGGTGAGTGCAATGACAATATATAATATGCATCTTTAACTAATAATGTTAAATGTGCTATTAGGTAAAATATAAAAGTTGTCCCATAAGTAGAGGGAAATATTCAAAAGAGTAACAATAGATATCAAGGAGACGAGAAAAATGTTTTTACTCTTAAAAGCTAACTTTAAAATTAAAAAAAAAAATCTCTTCAATTTTGTCAAAAACGTAAATATAATAGTCAGAAAATTTTGGTTTTTCAGTTATAAATACTGAAAAAATGCTATAATAGAGGTCTGGATGAAAAACACAGTTACATAACAACTTTTATGAAAAATATTTAAAAAATTATCTTTTTTTTAATTTTTTTTATTTATAAATAAAAAGTGTATTTAGGCCAATATGTTTATAATGATAAATCTCAGGTCACAGAAAAAATAGAAATAAAAGCTTTTCAGCAATTTATTGTAGTCATTTTTGCTGAATACACTTTTAGATGAATCTCATGTTAATTTCCCCAAATAAACCTTAACTGAATTTATATAAACTTAAAGCTTATAAAACGAATAAGTATCCCTAAAAGTAGCATATTTGTAGAATAGTTGGAGCATGATAAAATTTTTTTTTTTAAAAATCGCGAATAATTCATGATTTTTATAAATAAAACCTGGCTAAGTTTAGCCACTCAAAAGCCCTCTTAAAATTGTTTTACGAATTAAAAACTCTATTTCCATTTGAAGTAGATTTTTTTTTTTTTTTTTAGTTTACTGTGAAGAAATTGTTAATTACTTAAATTAAGTAATTTTTTTTTATATCGCTTCCTATTCAACAAAAAAGTAAATTATAGCTATATATAGCTTATGTATTTTATTTTTTGTTACATTAACCATCATTTTTATATTTTATTGTTTCTCCATAACATTGCCTGTAGATCAAATTTAATAACACGGACTCATAGTGCTTTTATTTCCACTGGTACGTTTCAGAGACACTTTGTTCCCCTCTTCAGTATCATAAAGAAGTGCTCAAAAAGGAATGGAAGAAACACAATTTTTTAATTTGGGAGTTTTCTTGGACAAGTTAAGAAGTTACCACCGTTAACTTCAGTGTTTTTGGTTTGCCGCTTATATCATAGAAACTATGCGTCTCAGCGATAAAGACATCCTATACAAAATTAAAGCAAACCAAATTTGTAACAATATTAAAGATGTCAATTTTCACGCTATGCCGTATAGTTTCCAAGACATCCGTGTTCAATAATTTAGAATTAATTTCGTTTTACTAACCAACTATTTTCTATTCATTATTAAGTCCTTGAGGACGAAAATTAAGTATTAAATTTTTCTCAAGAACATATATACATAATATTTTACTATTTTATCTTCAACCGTTCAAAAGTTTATAATTTAATGTGTAAATTCCAAAATTTATACAGAAAGACTTTTAATAAAACAACCAGTAATTACGTTTTTATAAATAAAGGTCTGTCCTATATTTATAAGTAGCAATTAAATAAGCAATATGTATTATATACTATATTTTGTGGTACATTTGTACTTATCTAAAAGTAATATTTATCGGTATTGTTGAATACTATACTCAATCCTGAGAGTCCAATAGAATTATTTTTACAGCTTCATTTCTCACCCCTATGGGAATGCAATGACGCTATATGATGAAACACTTAAAGAATTACAAGTGTTTCTTTCCCTAAATTTGATCTATTGTCAAACTTTTGGGGCATAAATAAAAATTGATGAAGAAATGTCAAGAGTATGAACTAATATAATGTTCAGTTAAACAACACGTCAATATTGTCACATTATTTCCCCAATTATTTCTTAAATCGAACTATCTATCCAAACAGTATTTAAATTAATTGTAACAGGAATATTTTTAGGAACAAAAGTATAACAACAATAAAATAAACAAAATTTCTTTAATTGCAATGTTGCAATTGTTTTTTTCAAGATAACTTTGTACAAAATTGAATTATATAAAAAAAAACCTTTTATATAAAATGAGAAAATATTTTTATGGAATGTATAAAAAGATTTTTAACTTTTAAACAAATTAAATATTCTCAAATTTTTGAAATATTTATAACATTCAGAATGGCTAAATTTTATTTTTTAATGAACCTATAATTAATGGTTTTAAAAATAAAGCCTAGAGTTCTTTAAATAGAAGCAATTAACTAACCAATTCAACTTTCACCAATTCAGGAATCATAAAGACTGAAAAATATAAAATCATATCAATGCATACTTGAGATAGCAGATTTCACTTCAACATTCTAAATGCCACTAAATAATTAGCTATAAAAATAGTTCAACATATAAAATATAGAATTAATTCAATAAGTAATAAGTTTAGTCTTATTTTTTCTAGTATTTTTTCTCAATTATAGGATGACGTAAGCCCTGGATTTTAGCCATAAAATCAGCGCAATACATATAGAAATAAAGTCTAGAAGAGGAAGTGAAAGAGCGGATGACTCAAGGGTTCAACGGAGTAAAATTTACGAATAATTTTAGGTTGTAATGTAAAATCGAGAACGTAATTACATTGAAAAGTGTTAGTTCTGGTCGAAAAAAAAAAAATAATTTTATATATATATATATATATATATATATATATATATATATATATATAAAAGGGTGATTTATGCAATTAAATGTCAAAATTGTTGGAAATTAATAACACTTTTTAAACGACTCACCTCATATATGCATATATCTTAAATCCATCAATGACAACCACATCCTCACTGAGCACATCACAACACGAAAAACTCTGAATAGCTCGAAAGGTACTGTTCCGAAAAGCCTCCAACTCGTCCGCGACGGACACACACGCAGGGACGACCCACACCATGATCCCGACACACCGATACCATACGCCGGACTGACAAGCAACCTCAGGGTTAGTGTACCCTAGGTATGGAGTAGGGGTCAGGAAAACCCTGGTACCTTCACGGTCAATGGCAAAACTATTTATGGTATCTGGAAATACCTCAGTGGTCGTTAGTAGCTAATAGACCAATGACGAATAGGCGACCAGATAATTAAATATATTTCATTTCTTCTTTAAAAGTCGGCGATAAGCGAATAAACTGATAAGAAAGGTGTCAACAAGTTTTTTTTATCAGTTGTGTAAATAGTGAATAATACTTTGCTGCTAAACGAACAAACAGGTAATGAATGATAAATCCTAACTTCTCAGGGACGCTAGATATTGACATCCATATTCTTCTTAAAATTTTATTCCGTTACATAAGGTTTATTCGTTAGTTTTCTGATTATTATTATTTTCATTTAAAGGTTTGAAAATGAGTGGTATTAGTCGTGTGTTCTGATTGGAGAAGGGATTTTAGGAGCAACAGGTCTCAGTATTTCTGATCTCCAAGGAAGCTTCTTCACATTCTTCCTTATTATCGAATCTATATCACGTCCACAACACAATAGAGTGAGCTGGAAACAACACAAAGCTGAAAAAAAATATTTTTTGCCCCAGGTCGGTCCTCCACGGGCTCACCCAGCCTCTATAAACAGGATACTTGGATATTCTTGTGTTGGTGATACGGGAGATGAACTCTTGATATGAATCTCTTGAACTTCGGATTTTATTTTTAATATCGTTTCAACACCTTGATGTACGCAAAAAACGAACAAAAAAAAACAACATATTAATGAATGGTCTGTACAATTAATTTTCTATTGCACTTTTATACAATATTTTTGTCATAACTTTTCTCAAAAAAAAAATCTATTAGTATACTCTTAATAGCCTAGCTCTATTTATGAGGTATAAGATAATAAAACTAAATCAAATAATAATAAAAAATTAATTAAATAAAAAAATATAGACCCTTCATGGGTTGTAGTTCAACAGAAGGCGGATCTCCTCTTGCAGTTGTTATTTAACAGTTGACTACACCTTTGAGATCACCGATGGATATAACTATAGGAAATTAGCATCATTCTAAACCTTGAAAGGGATCTCACACAAACCAGATTCCAGACGAATATTATGGAAAGGTGCATGGGATGTATTACAGGGGACGAATTTTAACGTTTCATCTAGTCAGATTTAAATGTGTATAGCAAAAAAGAAAGTGTATCTTTTACACCGATATTCTAAGCGGAAATATAAATTAATGAAGACGATTTATGATTTTGTCCAACTGTTATATTTTGTAAATTACTGAGAGTTTTTTCATAGATTTTCTTTATATATTAAACATTAAAAAATAAAAAGGGTTATTGCTTTTAACTTTAACCAGAAGTAATTGAGACAAATGTGTCCAAACGTTCGAAATTTACCAAAAATTCTGGAAATGAATAACCTTTTTATGGGGTGGAAACGTAATGACAAAATATGTATTCGCAAGTTCTAAAATGAAAAAATGGCATTTGACATTCAGCAAATTTTTATTAAAATAGGCACAATTCACCACATATTTCTAAAAAATTAAGTATAGTTTTTCAACAAATAGCATACAATATATACCTACCCACATGTCACATTTTATGTTTTTAATAGTGGAATTTTAAGAAACGCTAAAATTCTAATAAGAAAAGCACAGCGAATCGGTCAACAAATAATCGAAGACAAAACAAAATATACAATAATAAGCCGAAACATCCACCCAATAATTCCAAGAGAAATAGTTCTCGAGAAAAGACAAATACCAAGGGATGAACCACGGTTGGAAACAGACCAGCGTATTACAGGTGCAAACAGACTTTCCTTCCCGCTTTTAAAGGCAATGAAATCCCAAACAAGCGTGTGCAATGTTATGATAAAGTCAGTTCTGATATCCAGCTACGAGACAAGGAAACTAACTAGCCTAGAAGCCCATTGGACCACCAAAGAAAAAAGTATTGACAGACATGAGAGAAAAATCCTGCCCACAATAATCGGAGCGATCTGGGATCAGAGTACGACCACGTAGCGAAGAAAGATCAATAAAGAGCTAAGCAGCTGAAAGAAAAAGAGAAATTGTTCAATCGAAGGAAAAAAGATTAAGAATAGTGAGGCATGTAGTTCGAAACAATCAGAAAGCTTCTACACAACTTAAGTAATATAATGGCCAACTTAAATATAATAAAGAAATATATTTAAAAGTAACAACCAACTATACGGACATAACTAGGAAGATGGACATTCCATAATATAGTATTCCAGTGTGGACTTCCATAGCATTATATGAGCCTTACAGTTGACAGAATGACTAACACCAATTTCAACATTTTTGAGTAATGTCATTTTAGTGATATTTCTATATGGAAAATTTATAATACCTGTACACTGTGAGCGAGTTAATTCCAGAGTAGATGATTGTAGTGTTGAAATATAGAACTTTGAATAAAAGTATGAATTTCCTTTCTAGAAATATCACTGAAATAAAATAGCCAAAAGTGTGGAAATTATCAAACTTGTAATGACGTATTTTAAATAATTTTTTTTATCAATTTAATGAAGTTTATTTTCGTATTATTATTCTTACTTAACAAGGTATTACAAATAAATACAACATCGTAATTTCTAAACGGATATATTCTAAAGAAATAAACTCAGGAAGAAAACTAGATTTTTTTTTTAACAAATGTTTACTGTCATTAGATCCTCTTATTCATGTTCAAAGGACATAATTTTATCCATAGGTCATTAAATTAAACCTTGAATGAAGTCTGGGAATCAAACACAGGACACGGATTACATAATTTGGTCCCGGGTTCAAAGCCCAGCAATTTGACAAACTTTGATTAATCAGAGCCTATCAACGAAAAGCGCATTAATTAAAAGGAGTAAATGAAATGATTCCTGGAGCTGAGTAATGAATTGGGCAGGTTACTGATACAAAGCAGCGAACACCAGTTGGTGGACAGTCCGGTGTGCAGTGGTGGTGTTGGTGGAGCACTAGCCCAATGGCTACTTCACAGAGCACTCTGCCAGGGGTGGGCTAAATATATCCCTTACCACCGCTACAGTCAAATTAGCACCGGCTACCTCGATCTGCATACTGTGACATGTTCTGCATAATAGTGATGGCTCAGCGGGTTCGTTATGCTTATTGTCCACGGTTCTGTCCTCATAATCATGGGAAGCTCATAATCATATATCTCAATACAGGACTAAAAAGTCCATGGAGTTTAGCTAAACACTACAATATCAATAATAATGTCGAAAAATGCATTCGAATTCCAGGTATTTTCTGCTAGGTATTTTAATATCAAAACACAAAATTACAATATAATTAATCACAACTATTTTATTCATCATCAAAATTACACTCAAGACGGTTGCATCTGTTATAAATATCGATTATTTTATCCACCCAATGTACCTATCGATATATCACATTTTCAATATATACTATGAATAATACGGTAGTATTCATCTCTTTTCCGGCTCTTAGGAGAGATGTATTTTGATGAATGAGATAGGGAAGACTGGGTATGGTTGTCACAATTCATTTATTCGTCCTCAATTTTGTTTGTATGCCAATTAGATAGAAGAAAGGTGTTTTTTATAGTAAACTGTACACCTGACTACGCATGAATACTAAAGTTTTGTCCGTAAGTAGAATGGTCATCTCACACGAGCAAAAAAAAAAAAAAAAAAATGAAGATGCCACAACCGACCCCACTCCAAGCATTATCACGCTTGTCAAAGGCTTTGCTTGGGTTCGGCAGTGGCAAGTTCAAAAATACACCAAAATAATATAAAATTGCTTTTATTGTATTATGTAACATCATAAAACAATTTAATCACCTATAACTAATAATTGAGGAGAAGGATGGTTGGAGTGATCAGTCAAATTAAATGGTAAAAAATAAATAATTTTATTTAATAAAAATAAAATAATTATTTTTTACTATTTTAATGTGAACGATCACTTGAAACATCTTTATCTTCAATCATTCACTACAGTCAACCATAAACCCACAATTATATAACTAATAAATAAAAACTGTACCACTACAACCCATGAAGGGTCTTGGGTTCAGTACTGTTAAGGGAAAACACTGTTTCTTGGTCAAGGTTGTGCAAGGAGGTGATTTGACCGAGATCACGCTCAACCGCCAGGTTTTTCCCCTTAATTAATTATTAGGTACCCACTTTATAGAGGCTGGGTGTGCCCCAAGAGGGTCTACCAACTCAGGGTCGCCCCACGGCTAACGAAACAGAATAAATAATTATTCTGCCATGAGCCGGGATTCGAACTTGGGACCTTTAGCATTGGAAGCTCAGTACTCTTAGTAGCTTCCCCTATATAACTAATAACGTGTAAGAATCAATTTTCATTCTTTCTCGAGGGTTTTCTGCATTTTGTCTGTAAAAGAAGTAATGAAGGCCTTTACTACCGATGCATTAGGAATACCGTCAAATAAGTTTAGACAGGCACAACATCCCTTTGTTTCCTATAAACCTATCGGCAACTCCTTATAGTTTCGCTAACGTGACGACTGTGGCAACCGTAGCCTGGCACAACCGTATCCAGTCACCCCTATCAAACGAAAGGAAATTTCATAGAAGTGAAAAATCCCAACTTCAAAAGACTTTCCTGTTTTAAAATTTTACTACAACCACAAAAAAAAAGTAATTGAAAGAATGGAGAGGTTTCAAAACTCAGACTATTTCAAAAATAAATGAATCAATAAAGCATATAAAACAAAAAATAAAAGAAACTAGTGCTTAATTAAGGAAAATACTGTATCTAAAGTACAATTTCAAATAATAGTGACATAGCTATTACTTTAAGTTTTAAAAATATTAAACAAATAAAAGCTTTTACCGAATAAAGATATTTATAATTGCAGAAGTATAACCAAGTTCTAATTGATCTTAAATTTGAGTAATGCGAAGTACTTCATAATTTCATGCATCAAGAAAAGGACAGCACCGAAAATAAAATATTAGGAAATAGAGAAAAGTGACTTAACTAGAGAATGTAAGAATTCATCAAAATATATTCAATGTAATTCAAATAACAGCACCACGATATTTTTTATGATTTAACCCTTATAAATATTCATAAAATAGTAG